TGTTTATATATATATATATATATATATATATATATATATATATATTTACAACCATGGTATTGATACATCAAAAACAATAAACATTTCGTGTTAATTAATGTTGATATTCGATGTTATTTATTTTAAAGTTTTGGAGATGGGTATAAAAAGCAAAAGACTCTAAATTCATTTTAATACTTATTTAAATATTTTTTATTATATTTAATTTCAAATATACTCCATTATATATATATATGATAAATAAATATACATATTACTAGAGCATCTTCATTATTGTATTAAAGATAAGAATCATTCTTGCACAAATGCACCATTAGAGAGAACTAAGTTCTTGGTTTCGAGCATATGATTTGGTAAAAGAACTCAGTTCTTGAATTTTTTTTATTCGTATGTTTTTCATAAAGAGATTTTGCACTTTTCTCCAAACACGAGCAAAATTCAAATGATTTGTCAAATTAGCATCCTACCTGCTAAGTGCTAACCACATAAAATGTTCTCAACACTTAATACAATGCGTCTCTTTCAATTTAAATATCGATAGATCTGGTTATGGCAATGAAAAGAAAATGTAGAATAATGTAAAAGAGTCGTTTTAAGTTTTTAAATGAATGCATTATTTGAGTTAAAATTTTGCTAAAATTGTTAATAAGTTAAAGTTGATTGCACCATTTAAAGTGCTCCAATAGGCAATAGACACATAGTACGGTCTTTATTATGCTAGTATAATAATTTAAATTTATTATGATAAACATGTTTTGTCACTTTAAATAATATTTCACAGCACAGATCTTCTCACAACATTAAAAAAAAAAAAAAAAAAGAAGTTGACTAGATATCAAACGAAAAACAAATACCTTCACATTTTTTTATTAAACTTTTCTTAAACGCGTAATATTTTATAATATTTTAATTTCTTAAAATAATAAATTTAAATCTAGTTCAACCTTATAAAATTTACTTTAATTAATAATCTAATTTTAGTATCGTTAAGCATTAAAAAGAATACTAAAATAAGGGTTAAATCAAAACAATATGATGCCATTTTTTTTTGTTCAAAGTTTCTCTCAGTCATGCATAGAAGAAAAAAAAGTAATGAAATTCTCCTTAGAAAGACATGATCGAATCTGATCCCAAATAATTATTTTTACACAATAAAATTAAACAGGAAAAAAAAATGGAGCCTCTTCTAAAAGGAAAAGGTGAAGGAACTAGGGAAGGAATCCATGGCCACAACAGAAAAGAACGAAAACCTAACAGAAGGAGAGAAAAGTCAAAGAAGTTAGGAAGCATGATGAGGGCACTGTAGTAATTTGGAATTGAACAGAAAATGAAACATCATGGTTGAAAACTTGAAATGGTTGGGTGGCTGAGCGGTTAAGTTTGTTAGAAAAGGACACGTGTCGTTGTTCCAGTCAACTACCACTGTCCCGAAATTACGTACTTGTCCCGCTACTCACAATTTTAATATTCCTCAATGTTCTCGAAACTTTCTTTCGTATATATCATGCTTCCTACTTCCTATTCATCCACATGAACATCACCATTATCACGCCACGTGCATTCTTTATTTTATTTTTTAGTTTGAATTGTTAGGTAATGATGATTCAGGGTTGAGCTCAATAATATAATAACATTTTTTACTATTATGATTAATGATGAATGCAAGATTCTGTGTTACTATTATCAAGAGAATGCGTAGTAAATGGAAGATGACGAGGGTAAGTGGTTAGTGAGTCTCTTATCTTGCAGTTGCAGGCATTGGTATCTCAATTTTACTATTGAGCATGTGTATGAGGAATATGAGTTCTCAGGCATGTTTCCTACTCTTGGAGTTCAATATGTGCAGGGACACTTACCATATTTTTAATGCTCTGGACTGAACAAAAAATAATGTTGTTAGTCTCATAATTAATGTCCTTTATTTTATTATTAATTACAAAATCAAAAATAATCCTTTCAAAATCAAAATTCTTTAAAAAATTATTTTGAGTAGAAAATAAAAATTTATATGATAAGAATGTTGTTTATTTAGATAACATGTTCAAATAATTAAACAAAAATGCAAAAAAAAATATTATAATTTATGAATCAAATATAGAATTTTTAATGATGAAATGACAATAAGATAAAATAATAGTATATAATTGGTTGTTTTTAAACATTTATCTTAAGCTATCAAATTATTGTAACGGAAAAAGATTAGCAATGGTAGCATTCATATTAAAAAGAAGTTTGTCACATGCAGTTTAATTTCATAAAGAGGTCATAACTAAGACAATGGAGAGAAAATCACATTGATTAGAGATAATATAAAAAGAGAGAAAGTTTTAGGTAATTCCTTTTTATTAACACGAGAGGTTCAGATTAAGAGATATTGAAAGAAATAAGTCAATAATATATTATATTTTTTTCTTTACATTTAATATCATTCACTTATTTTCCTAAAATTATGGGTGAATTTTCCCATAATGATGGTAATTTTTTGTGTAAAAATGAAAATATCACCTATTAATTGATTAACTGTTGATGACTAATTTGTTTTTATAATACTTTTTATAATTTAATTATGTAAATTTTATTTTAATATTAATATAGAACAAAAAAAAAATGGTACCCCTTTGAAAATAGGGTCATGGACGATCACCCACCTTGACTGTGCTTAAGGCCACTACTACTTAGGTGACTATATTTCGATTCAAGAAGTCCTTTATTCCATTATAAGTAATGGGAGGTTTTAATGCTCATAGACCGAATGGATTTCAAGGTATTTGCTAAAGTAATGGAATGTTGTGGGGGAGACATTGGTGAAGTTGATCCAAGATATTTTTCAGCACCAGCAGAGAGTGGCAGAAATTAATGATACCCTTATTTCTTTGATTCCCAAGGGAGATAATGGAACTCACCTTAAGGATTTAAGGCCTATGTGCAATGTGTCTTATAAGATTATTACTAAGATTTTAGCTCATCACTTGAGACCTTTGATGGAGAAGTTAGTTGGGTCGTGCCAAGCCAATTATATTTCTAACAATCAGAATAGAGATACTATCATTTTAGTGAAGGAAGTCTTCCACACTATGAGGAATACGAAGGGTTTTTTGAGTTGGATGACTATTAAGATTGATTTGAAGAAGGCGTATGATCGACTTAGCTGAGATTTTATTAGGGATACTCTTTAGGACATTGGTTGTCCTGATAATTTTATTGATCTTATTTGGTAATGTATCTCTTCTTCCCGGATGAAAGTCTCATGGAATGGGGAGGCTTTAAAGGAATTTCGCCCCTAAAGGGGGGTTCGTTAAAGTGACCCTATATCGTTGTACTTGTTTGTTTTATGTTTAGAATGTTTATTTCAAGTTATCTATATGGAGGTGGATGCTAAACATTGGAAAGCCATTAAAATTGTTAGGAGATCCCCTCGACTATCTCACTTTACTTTTGCAAATGAACTCCTTTTATTTGTAGAAGGCAGTGAGGATCAAGCTAATATCATTCTTACAGTTCTTGACACATTTTGTAGGAGCTCTAGTCAGAAGGTTAATAAGGATAAGACTCAAGTTTTCTTTTCAGGAATGTGTGTTGGCAAAGGCAACTCCAAATTAGTCAAAAGTTGGGTTTTCAACTTACACGGGACTTAAGAAAATACTTGGGTAACCCTATCCACTATAAGAGAGTCTCCAAAACTTTTTTCGAGTTATCTTATCCAAAGTAATGAGTGTCCATCTAATTAGAAAGCTAGGAAACTTTTTTTTTGCTACGTTGTCTTACATCAATGAAATCAGTGTTGCAAGCAATGTCCTCATATGCTATGCAATCAACTAGATTACCTTTATCTATTTGTGACAAAGTAAATAAGTAGTGCAGAAGCTTTCTTTGGGGGGACATTGCTAATCACCAAAGGATACATATGTTGTGTGGAAGGTTTTATTTAAACCCAAAGTTGTTACAATGAAATGTGGTTAGGAATTGTGCACACAGAAGGAAGCTTTATGGGAAGGAAAATTGGTTTATAAAGTTACAAGGAGTGTACCTCAAGAATTATTGTTTAAGTTGGTCAAGGACTTCATTGATGTTATGGGGGATTGGAATTTAGCTATCTGCATAATTCTACTTTGGATTATATTAGAGTGGTTCCTCTCCCTAATGATTTGAGGGTTTCATATATTGTTTCTTGGAAGGGGTCAAATGATGGTGTTTTTTCTATGTCATCTGCTTATGCTTGCATTATTTATAGTATGCTGATGGTGAAGGACCTTTTACTTATGGTTGTGTGGGGGTGGCATGGTTTTGAGAGGATTCAAGTTATGTTATGGAAAGTTTATGTTAATGCTCTGCTTATTAATGAGATTCATTGTGTTAGACATTTGTCTACTAAACCATCTTGTTTAAGATGTTGTGGACTGGTTAAGAGTTTAGATAATCTTTTCAATGGGTGTTCTCTAGCCAGTGGAGTGCAAGATCTACTCTTGCTTATATCTAAGAGAAAATAATTTTTTACTCGATTTATTTATGATTGACTTCTATCCAATTTGTGTGACAATGTCCAAATTAGGGGTCAAAATCGGTATATTATTTTTGTAGTCTCGTTAGAGCATCTACAATGGGAGTTGCTTATAAGCAACTCTCAACCATTTTAAATGGGTCCTACTGTGCCACGTCACTTTTAAGCAACTCATATTATATTTTTACAATTTTTACTCCAATAGAAGTTTCTTATAAGCACTCCTACTTTTTTACAACTCATACTACACTTTTTGACACTTCACATTATACTTTATTATAAATTTTTTAAAAATTAATTATTATGAATAATATATATATATATATATAAATAACAAATAAAAAATTATAAAATAAAAAAATTATATAATAAAAAAATTATAATAATAAAAAGAAATAGCTTAGTATATCCTACAATAAAAAATTAAAAAACTATTTTATTTGAGAAAATATTTTTTATTTTTATCTTTAAAAATATTTTTTATTTTTAAATTTTTAGATTTAGAAAACTAGTTTAGTTTGAGTTCTTGTTTTCTATTTAGAAAATAAAAATACTGAAAATGTGTTTGATTTAATTATTTTTTAATAAAATTTTATGAAATGTATTTTTTTATTATAAAATATAAAAAATAAAAATAGAAAATAAAATGTAAAAAATAAAAACAGAAAATAAGATATAAAAATAAAAAATAAACGTCTCTCGTTCCCTCTTTCTCTTTCAGCTCTCTTTTTTCTCTCTCAATCTCTCTCTCGTCTCTCATTCTCTCTTGTGGTTGGTGGCTGGTGGCTGGTGGGTGTTGGCCGTGGCTGGTGGCTGGGGGCTGATCGGGGGAGCGCACGCGCGACTGAGGGGTTCGGTTGGGGTTTCCGCGCGCGCGGCTGGGGTTTCTGGTCGGGGGTTGCGCGCGGCTGAGGGGTCTGGTCGGGGTTTCGCGCACGCTGTTGGGAGGTCCGGTCGGTCAGGGGGTTCCGTGCGCGGCTAAGGGGTCCAGTCGGAGGTTTTGCTCGCGGCTGACGGGGTCGGTCAGGGGTTGCGCGCACAACTGAGGGGGTTCGGTGGGGGGTTTCCGCACGGCAGAGGGGTTCCGGTCAGGGGGTTTCGCGCGGCGGAGTTTTCCAGACATGCATGCACTCTGAGAACATGGCCAACGGAGGGAGTCGACCAAGAACAATAACAGGTGAGGGAGGTTTTATCAGTTTTTTTTTTTTGCAAAACCGTTTCAGCGTGGATGACCCTCATCCAATCAAATCTCTTCATTTTCAATTTGTCAGGGATAAGAACCGTTGCTTCTGCAAGCAACAAAGAGAAAAATTTAAGAACGAACGCTGCCACGTAGCTTTACTCCAACGGGGATTTCTTGTAAGCACCGTTGCTTACAATTAAGACACGGAACAGGCACCTCCCGCTGGAGGTGCTCTTAGATACTTTATGGTTCTACTCGTGCACTTGCATAAAAAATAATATTGCATTCATTGGTCAATTAATATAAATGGATATAAAAATTAATTAAAAAAATACCAATGTTTGCATCTCAGCAAATATTAAGTTAAATAGAAAATTTTTATGCAAGTTATTTCTAATGGTTAGGCTCTTCTTCAGGAAACTTCAAAAATTCAATTGAATTATAGATCAGAAGGAATTCTAATTTTGATTTTCAAACACCATCATGTGAATATGATAGCTCAAACTCACTTGAATAGAGAGTGTTGATAGTTATTAGCTATATATCATTGTTTTATTGATACACTTTTATTAGAGGATTTAACCTATTCCTAATTTTTCAATTTTGCCTCTTATTTAAAAATAAAATTTATTATTCTTTTGGTCTTTACAATTTCATAAACTTTATCTTTTGATCACTATAATTAAAAATATTTTATTTTATTTTACTTTTTATATATACTATTTTTATTTCCTGTTCTACAAAAATAATTCCATTTTCCAGTCTATTATGCAACGACCAGTTGCAGCTAAGATTCCCTGCTTTGGTTTAGGTAAATTTACTCTTAGAGTAAGTAGATTCTTTAATAATTTATGTTCTATATCAAATTTCAACGATTCAACCGTTGAATTAGAAGTTTTTAATGCATAGATCAAATTTGTAAATTTTTTTAAAATTTAAAAATTATTTGATACCCCGTTTCATTAATTCAAATTGACGGATAATCATTAAAAATATTTTATCCATTAATTTGAATTAATAAAATGGAGTATCAAATAATTTTTAAAATTTTTAAAAAATTACATATTTGATTTATGTATTAAATTTTTTTAATTTAATAGTTGGATAATTGAAATTTGGCATAGAATATAAGTTATTAAGTAATGTAAGTCTACCAATATGACAGATAATCATTAAAAGTATTTTATCTGTTGATTTGAATTAATAAAACAGAGTATCAAATAATTTTTAAAATTGTAGATTTGATCTGTATATTAATTTTTTTTAATTTAATAGTTAAATTATTAAAATTTGACATAAAATATAAATTATTAAATAATGTAAATCTACTAAAATTTACTTTTGAAGTAATTGGATCTTGTCTCTCTTTTCCCCTCTCCCCTTCTTTTCTCTCTCTCTATATATATATATAATTAAAATATTAATCACTAATTTTCTCGTATAAGCTATACTAGTTTTCGATTAAAATTTGTAATAATCCACATTTTGTTAAATTTTAATTTAAAAATTAATATATGAATTAACATTTTGCACGTTGAAATCATGCATGTACATTTAAAAATGAACCACAATCTGCAGGAGGTCGTGATCCAACATAAGTAATTTGATCGTGCTATATATAATAAGTTAATTAATTACCGCGTGTCAGTTATTTTATATAAGATTTTTCTGCGAAACATTTTAAAACATCATATTTTGGTTTAATAATATCTATTTGTTAAACATTAATATCGTATGAGTGAAAGTAATGACGGGGTAACAGTATCAAAAGATTCAAAACTTTGTATGCTAGTTTTAGTCAAATATATACCCATTAATATAACGATGATAATAACGACCTGCACATAGTTTTACGTCAATAGATGCTTGTAATTAGATAACATGTTTTACACCAATAAAATATGAAATTTATGTCTAGTCATTTTTTAAATTCTCATAAATAAATAATTAAAATAAGAAACTTAATGGAAGGGTATGACACCTTTTATTCTACACACTAATATGAGCATGTAAATTAATGAAGATAGAGAAAAGTTTAAAAACAACATTACTAAATAACTAAAGTTTACAAATCCGGTTAAATAGAGATATCATATAAAAACACTTAATCCCGAGAAATACTAAAATAAATGCTTAATAAAGTGATTACACAAGAAAACTAACATGAAGTCTTAAACATAACAAAATTAAAGTTTTAACTAAACATTGATATGTCACATCTTATTAAAGTACAACACTCAGTACAAGACCTAAGCTTCATCTCCAACCTCGTCCTCAACATGATGATCTTTACCTGCAACACATATACAAAAGCACCAACAACAAAAAAAGCAAGTGGAAAATATCTTATTCTAACTACCGGTGTAAAATATAATCAGATAGTCAAACCCTAAATAACAAGATATAACAAGTCATATATAAACACAATATATTCAATCATCAAAATCACGAAATAGTTTAGCAAACAATTACACATGAATGCATGCAATGCAATGGACACAAACTTCGTTGTAAAGTATGTATGTGACGCCTGCAAAACACTTCAACCTTATACATTTGTCTAAATACACACATAGAGTAGTCTAGAAAAATATGTCATTTCACAATATTATTGTACTCTATATTAGGAGAATATACACTAGGACGTGTTAGATAACGGTGTCACACAAATTACACTCCACACACATAAATAGGTAGAATTGGGGCTAACTAGGTATATCCTCAAGGTCATATGAATCTTTAAGCTTTTACAAACCTTTACTGACGTACAATGTATTTCTTATCGTACCCGTCACTAAAATAACTTATGCAAATAATGCATGTCACACAAGATCCAATGCATATTCATACCACATATATTCATTGTTACATGTTCATGTTACACATGCAAATCATATCCCAATTAGGCAATCATACCCAGACTTTTATCCTGACTATGTCTCGACTTAAGATTTTACAATGCATGACCATCACATGATCTACACATAACACATCATACATCACCATAAATGACCATCAAGATAAGCTCAAGTTACAATCACCATCATTACATCAATTCGATAATAAATTAATGTACCGTACTTAATTAATTAGCATAAATCATGCAAATTACTATACATACCCAAACACAAATATATATATATATATATATATATATTAAAATGATATTATTGAGTGTGAATCATTTATTTCTTTGCATGATCCAACAAATTATGTTATATCATTATTATTATTAATAAATTCGTAAATCTTAGCATTTATGATTGATATCCTCTTTATTTCGTAAATCACGAAGTCTTGTCTCAGCTATTCATGGAGGATAGTTTGGAAATCGATCAAATTTTGTTATGAAGGGTATTTGACAAATTGGACAATTATTAATAAAAAACTTACACGATTCATGCAATTGACAAGAGATTAATACCGTACAATTAATATAAAAAGTTAATATTTTACTATAATTCATTAGTGAAATGTGGGGTACCTTGCACCCAACATAATCCAAACAAAGAGCTCACGTCACTCTTTGTAAGAAACAAGCTCGACATGACTACACATACACTCAATGAAAATGTACATAGGAGCCCTTGAAGCTCTCATGCTCGACGTAAGTGACATAAAGAGTAGCCTATATGCTCTCTTCCACTCTCGTGCCCAACAGTCCTTCATGGCACTTAGTGTCAAATAAGAATCGTCTCAAATATAGAGAAGCAAAATCGGACAATATATGCACAATTGTGAACACATTCTAAAAGTATACCCATATGTTAATAAACCAACAATTACGTGCATTCTCATAAAGATTAATTATTACCTATTAATTTAGTTTACTCTATCATTATGTTTTCACGAGAACCATAGACACTCAAAGATTCATGATTACGTTAATTAACACAAAATCAAATACATATTATTATCATTCATTAGGAGTACAACATATAAGAAGCACATGAAACACAAATTCACAGATCTCACAACAAAATTGAGATTTTTCTCTTACAACATACAAGTATAAAGAAGAGATTAAAAGTCAATTTCATGCTACACAGATATTTCACACTCTAGAATGAGACTACTTACTCTCCCTCACCTTGATGAGAAATTGCAAACAATCGTAAGCCTCCACAGTGGTTACCTTTCATATATTCTAACAGTTCTTCAATTTCTTCAAAGTACAAAGTGTAATCCTACAACACTCTTAACCCTAATTTATAAAACTGCTCTTATCCCTATTTTCTTTTTAAATATAATATAATTAAATTACCTTCAATCTAAATCATATATTTCTTAGTACACTTAATTATAAAATTAATTAAAATACAAATATAATTAAATAAATAGCTGCATTATTTCTTAAAAAATCATTTAATTAACTAAAAACTTTTATTAATTTATTTAGAAAATTTGGGACGTTAGAAATTGCTTTCTCAAATTGAATTAGTCCGTGAGAAAAGGTTTAATATATATCAGTCTCATGCACAAAAAATATGTTAAAAACGAACAAGATAAAATGATATTATCAAAACAATGTAGTATTATTATTTAAAATGAACATAATCATGATCACCCTGAGAAAAAAGGTCAAAGAAACTTAATTATCCCTTTGAACAGTTGGTAAAGGACGTTGTTTGAAGTTAACGTTTGTTTCCACGATTAAAAAGATGATAAAATTTGATTGCGTCGCATGCATGCTGTTGTGAAATGTATAAAACTTCAAAGCTAACCTTCATGGAACTTTTCCTACTTTGCCTCTTTCTCTCTCTTCCCACGTAAGTACTAATTGCCATCATGTCGATCCCATATACACATTCCATTAACTAACATGCACTCGATTCAAATGTAAAGTGCAAAGCATATGTAGGGTTCCGTTTGATTTATTCTTTGATTGAATTAATTATGAAAAGTTAAAATAGTTTGTAGTAAAATATTATTTGATATTTAAAATGATTTTTTTAGGAATGAATGTTAAAAAATGATGTGATGTGAAAAAAAATGATGATGAAAAAGAATTTAAAAATTCGAGTGTGAAAAAAATTTAAAGATTAATCTCTTTTTAGGTGAAAATTCAGTAGTGATTGCAACCAAAATTTTAAAGTAGAAGTTTTTACCTGTAATACTAGTTCAAGTTGTAAGATGTTTTGATTCTTAATTCTTAAATAAGATATCAAATACGAATTTTAAATATTGTGATTGAAAATTCACTTCAATAATTTTTTGCCTTAAAGTTATGGATTTGAATTTTAAATTTTGTTTCAATTTTTATTTATTAATTTAGCTCAGCCTCTAAATTTTGAAATCACCATTTTTTAGTCTTACAAATTTAAAATGGATGTTTTTTTTAATCTCATAAAATATATGTATACTTTATTTTATTTCAATAACTTTTAAATCCGAAACTTTTTTTAAATCCTAATATTTATTTGAAAATATATAAATAACATTTATTTTAATAATTTCAATCTTTTTTAGGTATTATATATTCGAATCATCAAATGTGGTATCACAAACACTAATAGGCATTTTCAAAGATGGTCACTCAACCATCTAGCAAATAATAAGTTGCTAATGAGTGTCATGCAATCAGATAATAAAAATAATGAT